TTTTTTATAATTTTTTTTATTTAATATTTTTTTTTTTTTTTTTTTCTTTTTTTAAATACCATATGTTATTTTTTTTCCCCATGCTGAAAATTGACCTTAGCACCTCACACATGCAAATGATACTCCCAGCCTTCCTATGTTCTTTCCTTTTTTAGAGACAGGGTCTCCCTGTAGCCCCTGTGGCCTGGAACACACAGAGATCTGCCTGCCTCTGCCTCTTGAGAATTGGGATTAAATGTGTGTGCCACCACGTCCAGTCTATGTTCTTTTCATATTAGACATCTCCTAGAGCCTCTCTACTCTGGTGGTCCTCTCATGTGAGAGAGACAGAGACAGAGAGACACACGGGGGTCAGGGGAGGAAGCTAGATGAAAAATGCTGATCTCCAGAATTCAGGCACAGTGGTCCGATATAGATTTTAAGTGGGTTACAATGAGGTAGTTAAGAAATCCAGCTGGTAGTTAAGAAATCCAGCCAAGCATGATGGCGCATGCCTTTAATCCCAGCACTTGGGAGGCAGAGGCAGGTGGATCTCTGTGAGTTCAAGGCAAGCCTGGTCTACATAGTGAGTTCCAGGCTAGCTGGGGCTACAAGGAGACCCCGTATCAAAAAAAAAATTCATTTTAGCTGGGCATGGGTAGCACATGCCTTTAATGCCAGCACTCAGGAGGCTGAGACAGGTGGCTCTCATTGAGTTTGAAGCCAGTCTGGTCTACATAGTGAGTTCGAGGCCAGCTGGGGCTACAGAGAGACCCTGTCTCAAAAAAGCAAAACAAAATTATTTGTGTGTGTGTGTGTGTGTGTGTGTGTGTGCATGTGTGCGTGCCTGTTTGTCTCTATGTGTACCACAGTATGCCATGACTGAGGAGGCCAGAAGAGGGCATCAGATCCCCTAAAACTGTAGTTATAGGAGATTGTGAGCTGCCCAATATGTGTTCTGGGACCCAAACCCAAGTCTTCTGCAAGAACGGCAAGTGCTCTTAACTATTAAGCCATCTCTCCAGCCCCTTATTGATGTACGTTTAACACATATAGAATATTATTTGTTTTTATTAGTAATGTGATTTTTCTAATCTGTATGTTTTTCTGTTATAGGTTCTCTACTAACCTTTTATAAAAAAAAAAAAAAAAAAGAATAGGCCCAGTTGTGGCTCAGCATGTCAATAGTAACAGTGCAGCTTGGTCAGTGTGGCAACCAGATTGGCTTTGAAGTGTTTGATTCTTTATTTAGTGACTCACACTGTTCCCAGGGACTCTGCTCTAAGAGAGAGAATGAGGCATATCAAGCATCTTGCAAAGAAAGATTCTTCAGGGAGGAGAAAAATGGAAGTAAGTGTGGCCCACAGTCCTCTCCTTTACACTAACATGAACCTCTTCCAAGCCTGGCTCTTTTCCTTAAGGACTTTTTTTTTTTTTTGGCCTTTTGAGACAGGGTCTCCTTGTAACCTCAGGTGGCCTAGAACTCACTATGTAGAACAGGCTGGCCTTGAACTCACAAAGATTCGCCTGCCTCTGTCTCCCAAGTGCCGGGATTAAAGGTGTGTGCTACCATGCCTGGCAAGGATTTTTTTTTTAACTTTATGTGTACTCCTTTTTTGCCTGCGTGCTATGTGCTCGCCTGCATAGCCAGAAGAGGGTGTCAGATCCCCTGGAACTGGAGTAACAGATAGCTATGAGCTGCCATGTGGGTGCTGGGAACTGAATCAGGATCCTCTGCAAGAACAGCCGGTGCTCTTAACCTCTGAGCCATCTTTCCAGCCTCCAAAGCCTGGTTCTTAGCATGTGTCTAAACCCCATCCCTTCCATTTCACTAGGAAAGTCATCTGCTTTTCTCCCCACATTCATGTGCTGGGGTTTGAACCAAGTCCTCAGAAAGCCATACAAGCACTCTACCTACAACCCCTGAATTTTTTTTCCTGGATTTAGGGCTGGGAATATACCCCAGGGGGCCTAGCACTTTATGTTCTGTGTTACCCACCTATAATATATGAATTTTTTTTCTTTCTTTTCCCCTCTAGTTCCAATTGCCCGGGCTGTTCTTGTTGACATGGAACCTAAAGTTATCAATCAAACACTCTCAAAAGCTGCCCAGGCTAGCCGATGGAAATATGGTCAGCATGCATGCTTCTGTCAAAAACAAGGTTCTGGGAACAACTGGGCATATGGGTAAGAATAATTCCTCAGGATTTTCAATTAAGTTGCAACTACATAGTTAAATAATAGTATAGTTACAACTGCATAGTTGATACAACAAGCACATTGAAATTGTTTTAAAATTTAGAATTGGGCCAGCATGGTGGCACACGCCTTTAATCCCAGCACTTGGGAGGCAGAGGCAGGTGGATCTCTGTGAGTTCAAGGCCAGCCTGGTCTACATAGTGAGTTCCAGGACAGCTGGGGCTACAGGGAGACCCTGTCTCAAAAAGACCAAAAAATAAAAAAATAAAATAAAATAAAATTTAGAATTGGAATTGATGAGATGGCTCAGTGGGTAAAGGTGCTCCCCTCTAAGCCTGACAACCTGAGTTTGATCCCCAGAACCCACATGGTGGAAGGAGAGAATCTATGCCTGAAAATTGTCCTCTAACATCCACACACATGCCATGGGACATGTGTGCTCCCCCACATAAATAAATACATATAATTAAAAAATTAAAATTTAGGGGCTGGAGAGATGGCTCAGCAATTAAGAGCACTGACTGCTCTTGAGAGGACCCAGGTTTGATTTCCAGCACCCACAGTTCCAGGGGAATCCAAAACCCTCGTCTGACCTCTGAGGCATTGTGCGACATGGGTGCACTCACATACATGCAAGCAATACATGCATACACATAAAATAAAAATAATTTTTAAAAAATTTTAATATTTTATTATTTTATGCCAGGCATGGTGGCACACGCCTTTAATCCCAGCACTCTGGAGGCAGAGGCAGGTGGAGCTCTGTGAGTTCAAGGCCAGCCTGGTCTACATAGTGAGTTCCAGGACTGCTGGGACTACAGGGAAACCCTGTCTCAAAAAGACCAAAAAAAAAAAAATTTTTTTTAATTATTTTTATTTTATATGCATGCGTGTGTTGCCTACATGTAGGTAAGTGCACGCATGTCATGCAATGCCTGCAGAGGACAGAAGAGGCTGTCAGATCCCCTGGGACTGGAATTACGGACAGTTGTTAGCTGCCATGTGGGTACTGGGTCAACTTTGCTTTGTTTGGCTACTAGATAGAAACTTTAATCCTCTCTTCATATTTAGAATTTGCCAACACTGTTGGTGTAAGCCTATAATCCCAGCTACTTAAGTTCAGTACCTGCCTGGGTTACAGAGTGAGTTCAAGGTCAGCCTGAGCAATTTAGCAAAATCCTATCTCCAAAGTATGTATATATATACATAGATATATGTTTGTATATATATACATATATATATACACACGTATATATACATATATGTACATATATATATTCTTTTTTAAGTGCTTAGACTATGGCTCAGCAGTAGGGCCTTTGCCCAGCATGTTTGGGACTCTAAGTTTAACCCCAATACCACTAAATTAAATAAGTATTTAGACCTCACCTAGCAGCAGCTCTCATTCTGTCTCTGCCTGTGCTTCAGGTAAAGGCTATTGATGAAACTAGGATCTCTTGCAGCCAGGTTTTCTGCCCACTTCACAGTCATGCTGCAAACTAACATTTTACCAATGTAATAAATCCTTGTCTGGCATTCCAGTTCTAGGAAATATTATGAGGCAGTAGTTACAAATTTTGCTGCACAGTAGAATTACTAGGGTAGCCAGGCAGGCATGGTGATTCTCTACTCGAATCCCAGCACTTGGGAGGTTGATGTAGGATCATGAATTCAAGGCTACTCTGGGCTTATAGTGAGACTCTGTCACAAGAAAATATGGGACTGACAAGATGGATTAGTGGGTAAAGACAACCGCTGCCAAGTCTGATGACCTGAGTTCAATCCCCGAGATCCATATGGTGGAAGGACAGAACTGAATCCACAAAGTTGTCCTTTGGCCTACTCACATATCATGGCTACCTGACATGTGAGTCTGTCTGTCTCTGTCTCTGTCTCTGTCTCTGTCTCTCTCTCTCTCTCTCTCTCTCTCTCTGTCTAATAATAAAATAAAGGATTCTATTATTCTCATTTTAAAAAGAGAACTTTCTAGATTCTATAAATTCACTCTTCTTCTTTCAACTATGTAGCCCTGGTTTGTCCTGGAACTCACTATGTAGACCAGGTTGGCTCAGACTCAAAGAGTTCCACCTGCCTCTGCCTCCCAAGTGCTGGGATTAAAGGTGTGTGTCACCATATCTGGCTGCAAATTCATGCTTCTAGTTATCCTATTCACGTGCTAAATAAATTTAACTTGTGTATTTTAAATGTTGTTAATCAGGGTGCCTATACCTTACATGAGACTCACTCCCAAAGCTCTGAAAAGACCTCTGTGTCCTAAATGTCCTTCCTCTGCATCACATCCCTCCTGTTAAATTGAAAGGTATTTGTGTTTGTTCCTTTCATCATTGCATAGTTACTCCATGCATGGACCCAGGCATGAAGAATCTATAATGAACCTAATCCAAAAGGAGGTGGAGAAATGTGATTCCTTGAGTGGTTTTTTTGTCATCATGAGTATGGCTGGAGGAACAGGATCAGGGCTGGGAGCCTTCATTACACAGAAGTTACAAGATCAGTATTCCAACTCTTTGAAAATGAATCAGATCATATGGCCTTATGGAACTGGTGAGGTATGAACACATTAATTGGAAGTTTTATACTGTATATTTTTTGCTGTTGAAATGAACATGAATAAACACTGGATCTCACACCTTCTTTAGAGTGTTGAGATATAGCTTCAGGACTGATTATATGATACTTACATGAATAAATGCTTCAGTTTTGGTTATATTTTTCCAAACATATAAAGTATCCTTTGTTTTTAAATATTTTTTGTTTCAGTTGGGTTTTAGCTTTGTTTTTCATTTTTTTGGTGGTTTTTTTTTTTTTGAGACAGGGTTTCCCTGTAGCCCCAGCTGTCCTGGAACTCACTATGTAGACCAGGCTGGCCTTGAACTCACAGAGATCCGCCTGCCTCTGCCTCCCAAGTGCTGGGATTAAAGGCATGCACCACCACGCCCGGCTTCATTTTTGTTTTTGAGATAGAGTTTTACTATATAGCCCAGGTGACCTTCAACTCAAGATCCTTCTGTCTTAATGGCATGCGCTACCATGCCTGGCTGAGGTGTTTTGTTTTGTTTTGTTTTTTAATTCCAAAGATGATGGCTAGGGATATAACTCATTAGAGTATGTGCTTAGCATGTTTAAAGCCCTGGATTCCATCCCCAAAGCCAAATAATAGCAGTAAGAATAGTGATAAATTCTAAAGATGACTGTGCTTCTCTCAGGAACATATTTTTGGCTTGGTTTTTCTGGCTATGGTATACAGAGAAGGGACCTTGACCTCATGTTGGGTTCATGGCATCATCTCCAGCCTCCAAATGGTTTTCATTTCTTTCCATTGAAAGGAAATTTCTATGCTTGCCAATTCCTAATGATCTTCTGAATAGGAAAGGCAAATGGAGGTTAGACACACCACCATAAGAACGATTCAGGAAGGAGGTGTGATGGTGCTGGCCTGTGTATGAGTCCTTACCGTGCACTTCACTTGCATCATGTGGTTAATCTCTGCAGCTCTAGGAGGCAGATGTTTTTGTCCCCATTTTACAAATAAGGAAAGTGAGTCATAGAAAACTGAAATAACTTGCCCAAAGCCATGTTGCTAGAAAGTAACCAGTCAATGAGAGATGGCTCAGCAATTAAGAACACAGATTACCCTTCTAGAGGATCCAAGTTCAGTTCCCAGCATCCCTGTTGGCTGGGTCACAACAGCCTATAACTCCAGCTCCAGGAGGATCTGACACCTCTGGCTTCTGCAGGCACCTGGGCTCGTGCTCGTACCATCACACAGACACAGACAGACATATATTTAAAAATCATAAAAATCTTAAGTCTCTTTTTTATAAAAAGGCATAATAACAGACTGAGGACTTGAACCCAGACAGGATGCCTTTAGAATCTACACTCAACCACTGATCCCTTTCGCCTTGTTTCTGAACCTCTTTCTCTCCAGGTTATTGTACAGAACTACAACTCCATCTTGACTCTTTCTCACTTATACCGGTCTTCAGATGCTTTCCTCATTCATGAGAATGATGTTGTCCACAAAATCTGTGCCAAACGGATGAATATCAAACAGATCTCCTTCAGCAATATAAATCAAGTTCTTGCACACCAGCTGGGAAGTGTGTTCCAGCCTACTTATTCTTCGGAAGGCTCATTCCACTACCGCAGAAATCCACTAGGTATTTACTCCCTGTGTTATTTGTAGAAAACTGTCTTTGTTCTAAAAGCCTCAAAGTTATTCTTCACTGTCTCCTCCCCTCTGCCTTGAGATGTGTCCAAGATATGCCCAGAAATCTTCCTTCAGATCTGCTTCATCTCTGAACTGTCTTACTGAAAAGTCCTGAGAAGTTACTGGATTTTTCCAAAAGTACACAATAAGAGTGTCTAGATACCCACTAACTACATCATTTGAGAAGCCTCTCTCCCTTCTTCCCTTCCTTGAAGTGCTGGGGATTGAACTCAGGGCCTAGTACATGCTAGAACTGTCCCTTGTTAATGCCTTGCAATTGATCTCATCTCCTTTCTGTCTTCCTTGTCCCCTTTCTGTTTTTTTAATTCAGTTTTGACTGTCTGTAGTCTCCATACCTGGTGGACTCACTTAACTTCTCTTGACCTAAATATCCAGTGGTATTTTTACTTGACAGCATCTTCCTCTTCTTCCTCCCCCCTCTATCTCCATCTCTTTTTTATTTTTTATTTTTTCTGTCTTTTTGAGACAGGGTCTCCCTGTAGCCCCAGCTGTCCTGGAACTCACTATGTAGACCAGGCTGGCCTTGAACTCACAGAGATCCACCTGCCTCTGCCTCCCGAGTGCTGGGATAAAAGGCATGCGCCACCATGCCTGGCATATCTTTTATTTTTTGAGACAGGGTCTTACTGTGTAGCTCATGATAGCTTCCAACTTCTGCTACTCCAGCCTGAGTTCTAGGATTATATGTTTGTGTCACCACTCATGGCTTTGACACCTTATTTACTTGTTTATTTATTACTGTATGAGGGTCAAATCTAGCCTCTCTGCCACACACATGCTAGGGAGGGATCTACCCTTTTTTTTTGAGACAGGGTTTCACCTTGTAGCCCAGGCTAGCCTAAACTTAATGGTAAAATTCTCCTGCCTCAACCTCAGCTGGGGTTGCAGGTGTGCCCCCCATCCTGCTGTGACAGCTCCCTACTTGAAATTCTCTTCCTTGATGTTCAAATTTCCCTTCAGTTGCTGTGATAAAACACTGACAAAAAGCAACTCAGACAGGAAAGGGTTTACTCAGCTTACACTTCCGTAGCATGGTCGATTATTGAGAGAAGCCAGGGCAGGAGCTCCAGGCAAGAGCCATGGAGGAACACTGCTTGCTGACTTGCTCTCTGACACACTGAACTAGCTTCCTTATACAGCCCAAGGAAGGTTGGGCTGGGATTTCCTATATCAATTACTGGTCAAGACAATCCCTCACAGATTTGTCCACAGACCAACCTGATAAAGACAATTACTTAGGCACTCTCTTTTCAGTGTCAAGTTGACAGTTAAAGCTAACCAAGACACTTGGCCTGACAGCTTGAGAGCTTCATCCATCATCTTTTCCCTTCCCTTGCTCTCCTGTATTTCTTGAGCATTTTTGTTTCTGTCTTACATGTTTTCCACTGTGATTCCTTCTTCAGTTTTTATGTAGCTCTATTTCTTCAAGTGGTGCTTTAGTAATTCAGAGCATGTAAATGCAATTGGCTCCTTAATCTTTATCTTCAATTTCATGTCCTTCCCAAACAGCTCCTATCCCAGTCTCCTCTCCACCCCTTTTGTCCCTCTACTCCCTCCCCTGCCCCCCAGCCAGCTGGCTTTGAACCTCTGGGCTCAAGTGATGGAGCTATAGCTGGCACTAAAGCTATGAGTCACTGGGCCTCAGTGGACCAGAATTTGTATGGAGTTTGTTTACCACTCTTCTCAGTACTTAAAAACTGTGCATAGCAGCTGGGTGTGGTGGCCTTTAGTCCCAGCACTTAGGAGGCAGAGGCAGGCAGAACTCTTTGAGTTCAAGGCCAGCCTGGTCTACATAGTGAGTTCCAGGCCAGCTGAGGCTACAGGGAGACCCTGTCTCAAAAAAACCAAAAAAAAAACAAAAACAAAAACTTGTTGGATGGAGAATGTATTTTTTTAGTGTGTTTTTGCACTGCTGGGGATGGAACCTAGGGCTCTTCACATGCTAAGCAAAGGTTCCACCACTGAACTCCACTTGGTACATGAAAAGAAGTATATGGATCTGGAGTTCACAGAAGTGATGTGGGCTTCTGATGTAAACTGAAATTGTATTTAATGATTGAAAATTCAGAAGGGGCATTGAGTACTCTTATTCCTGTGGCCCACTGTTACTTTTTATTTATTTTTTTAATCTTTTTGAGATAGGGACTCCCCATAGCACCAGCTGGCCTGGAACTTGTTATGTAGACCAGACTGTCCTTGATCTCAAAGAGATCCACTTGCCTCTGCCTCCTGAGCGCTGGGATTAAAGGCGTGTGCCACCATGCCTGCTCCAATGTTTCTTTTGACAGCATATTTTCAGACCTGTTCTATTGCTTTGCTTTGGATAAAGCTTCCTTGTTACTCTGGAAAAAAGAAAGGTAGCGGCAGATTGAGAGATCCCACGCTGCCATGTGGTGTCGCTCCCTGCACCTGGGCTCTGATTTTGCCAGAAAGAGAAAGACTAATGGATTGCGAGGGCAGGAAGTCAGTGGACTAGGGTCTCAACTAGGTCCAAGAATTGTTAAGGTGAGAGTTAAAGAGAACTGGAAGGGAGACCTAGCAAGGAGCAGTAGAGCACTGCCTAGCATGTCAGACCCCAGCACTGTAAAAAGAAAAAAAAGGCATTAAGCTGGGCGTGGTGCACTAGGCTATCCACCCCTACATGCATGTATTGTAGACTGTTGCATGCAACTCCTTCTTTCTTTGTCTGGCTTTTTTTTTTTTTTTTTTTTTTTAAATACTGGATTTTGTTCTGTTGCCTGGGTTAGTCTTGAACTCCTGGGCTCACAAGGGCCTCCTGTTCTGCCTCAGCTCTGGAGCAGCTAGAAGAGCAAGCTGTGCCAGGCCTAGATCTAGAATGATTTCTAGGGCTATCCGGTGAATGCAGAATGACAAGCAGAGCATATTAGCTCTCCTGTTTGTTTTATTGGGGTTTAACAAGTATTTACTCACAGTTCCACAGTTCCGATTTCTTGGTTTCTGGGCTCATGTTTCCTTTTTGATAAAGTGTAGGGTTTTTATTTGTTCCTTTAAATTTTGTTTAAATTTATTTTTTATGTGTATGAGTGTTTTGCCTTTGTGTATTAAATGTACCCATGCATACAATATCCACAGAGGTCAGAAGACAGCACCAGATCCCCTGGAACTGGAATTATAGATGATTGTTAGCATCATGTGGGTGCTGGAAACTGAACTGGGGTACTCTGCAAGACCAGCCAGTGCTCTTAACCACTGAGCCATCTCTCCAGCCCCTGTTCCCTTTTTTTGAAACAGGTTCTCACTATGTAATTCTGGCTGGCCTAGAACTCATAGAGATCTGCCTGCCTCAGCCTCCCAAGTGCTGGGCTTAAAGGCATGCACTATCATGCCTGGCTTTGTTTGTTCCTTTTTTCAAATAGGGTCTCACTTTGTAGCTCTTGGCTGTCGTAGAACTGTGTAGCCCAGGCTGGCCTGGAACTCATGGGCAATCCTCCTGCCTCCCCTGTCCCCTGAGTGCTGAGATCATGACTTTGAGTCATCATATACATCTCAAGTGTGCTTTTCTGCCCATGGTAAAATGAAGCAAAGATGTAGTCTGCAGTAGACATTGTCTCTGAAAATTTATCATTCTAACATTTAACAGTTTTGGCTATCGAGAAAGCATATTTGACCCAGAAACACTGTCAGGTCATGAGTAAAGAAGCCAATGGCACCATTGTGGAATGCAGTAAATTTAGTTCACGCCTTTCTTTTTTTGACAGGAGACTTAATGGAGCATTTAGTCCCACATCCTGAATTCAAGATGCTGGGAGTTCGTAATATTCCTCAGATGTCTGAGAATTCTCTGGCATACAGCACGTTTACTTGGGCTGGCCTCCTCAAGCATTTGAGACAGATGCTTATTTCTAATGCAAAGATGGAAGAAGGTAAGGGTATTATAAAAATAGACAACCCACATACTGGGAAAAGTGCCTGTCTAGAATTCTGAGTATAAAGTGGCTTGGGTCAGTTGAAGTAAAGATCCTTTCTTCTGGCCAGGAGCCTCCTTCAGAAACTCACTGAGACACCACAAAGGGCCTCTCAATTGCTTTACAGTTTCATGACCAAACAAAGAACATTATAAATGAGTGCCATGTTATTTTAAATATTTTTATTACATTTTTTGGGGGGTGGGGGTTGAGACAAGATCTCATTATATAGCCCTGGCTGGCCTGGAACTCACTATATAGACCAGTCTAGCCTCTAATTTACAGAGAGGTCTCCTGCCTCTACCTCTAAGTGCTGGGATCAGAGATGTGAGCCATCACTCCTGGTTGGTTTTGTTGTTGTTGTTGATGATGTTGTTGTTGTTGTTGTTGTTGTTTTTAATTATTGAGAAAGGGTCTCCATGTGGCCCCAGCTACCTGGAACTCACTATGTAGACCAGGCTGGCCTTAATCTCACAGAGATCCGCCTGCCTCTGCCTCCTGAGTGCTGGGAATAAATGTGTGTACCACCACTCACCACTTCTTTATTTTAATCAAAGTAATATATGAATATAGCTTTAAAAATCAGGTCACTAGGGGCTGGGCTGTAGCTCAATTTGAAGTGTGCTTGCCTAGTGTGTATAAGGCCTCAGCACAACATAAACCAGAGGTAGAAGCACGCCCCTGCAATCCCAGCACTTGGGAGGTAGAAGCAGGAAGATAAGAAATTCAAGGCCATCCTCAGATGCATAGTGAGCTTCAGGCCAGCCTGTGGTACATTAGACCCGCCTCAAAAGGAAAAAAAAAAATCATGGGCCAAAGACATAGCCCAGTGAGTAAAGGTGTTTATTGCCAAGCCTGGCAACTTGAGTTTGAGCCCCAGGTCCACATAGTAGAAGGAGAGAACCAATCCCCAACAAGCTGTCCTCTGTGTGCTATAGCATGCCCCCACCAATAAATGCAGGCAATACACTCATACACATAAAATAAAAATAATAAAATAAAATTTTAATATTTTATGTATATGAGTGTATTGCCTGCATGTATGTGAGTGCACCCATGTTGTGCAATGCCCGCAGAGGTCAGAAGACGGCTTTGGATTCCCCTGGAACTGGAGTTAAGGCTGGTTCATAGTCGCCATGTGGGTGCTGGGAATTGAACCAGGTCCTCTGCAAGAGCAGTCAGTGCTCTTAACTGCTGAGCCATCTCTCCAGCCCAAAATTTTTTTAAAAAAAGAAAAGCAAGACCCACTGCAGGCCTCTCTCCTACACTGCAGGCTTCTCTTCAGGACCAACCCAGCTCCTCAGTGCAGACCCCGAACTGCTGACTCCAGCCCAAAATTTTTTTAAAAAAAGAAAAGCAAGACCCACTGCAGGCCTCTCTCCTACACTGCAGGCTTCTCTTCAGGACCAACCCAGTTCCTCAGTGCAGACCCCAGGAGTCCTTGGGGCCTCTTCCTGCCCCATCTGCCTTAGCATCTCTGGGTGGCACGGCCACCAGCTGCCCTAGACCAGCATCTTTCCTGAGCCAGGCTCCCAGGCCAGTCC